AAAAAAACAAATTCATACATACATACATATCTGTCACGCCTGTCTTCCATTAGGGTAGGCAGAAACAATGGAACGCCAAATGCTTCGATTCAAACAAACCTCTTTCGTTTCTTCCACATTCACCAATCGTTTCATACACGCTCGCCGGTTACGGGTACTTTTAATTTGGCCCTTCTTCAGCACGTCGCTTATTTGGTCAACATACGTCCGTATAGGGCGGCCCCTACCGACATCTCCATTCTCCAAAAAACAAATTCAATTATGTCAAAAGCTTATTCGGTAGTTTAGTTTTTAAAACAACGTTATTTTGATTTAAAAACTACATTCATGAATCGAATCTGATGTAATTTCTATGGGACCAACCTGTAAGTATATCTTTTCAGATAAAAAAAAATACTAATCGGTTTAGAACTGTCGAAGTTATGAGGTAAAAAACTTAAAAAAAAAACATATATAACCGAATCGAAACTTCCTTTTTTGAAGTCGATTGAAAATATTCAGCATTCAGAACGTTTCAAACGCGTCAGTTGAAATGCCGTCGCCTCGCCGTTCGCGTAGTGTTTGGCTTTACGCCAAAAGAGCACGACGCGAGACACTGTTACGTCAAACGGAACGCTTTTTATCGATGAATTCCATGTAGACAGGTGGAATTCTAATAATATTCCAAGACCTTGGTAATTGTACCGGTCTAATATACGTTGCGATGGTCGCGGATTCGAGCACCGCGCAATACAAACATTTATATTTAAGACTATGTTTGTTTGTAGGGATTTGTTTATTTCTATGTATGTATTGTCATGTAGCATAGAATGAGTCACCCCTTTTTTTCCTATAAGTGTCGTAAATGGCGACTAAGAGAACTTAATAGTCGAAGGATGAGCAGTAGCGTCCCTCTTAAAACATCTCTAAAGCCTAACTGCGGTTGCTAACTCGCCTGCCAAGCGTGGCGTCTACTGGCAAAACTCCTCCAAAAGGGGAAGCTATGTACGACAGTAGGCAGTTAATGGCTGATACATACAATATAATAAATACGAAAGTTTATAACGTAGCTCCGCCTGCATTAACGGTATACGCTGGTGGGGCACCAATGAGGGATGATAAGTGAGAATGAAAAGGCAGATCAATTAGTCCATCGTGGTGAATATACCTGGTATTCAGCACGATGGTTTCCCATGGAGAGGGGGGCACGAGAAGATCGACCTAGTTTGATATACTGATAGCAATGGGACTGGTAACCCGTTACTAACACTCCCTCTCCTTACATTGAAAAAGATAGAAATCGCTGCACTATTCTCGTTTTAAATCGAATTATAAAACAAAACAAATTCTAAGTGGACTAGAAACCTCATTGCTAGCAATAAAGAGTATATTGCTAGCAATAGTCAGGTCTACATTCACGTGGTTTCCCATGGAAACCATCATGATTAATTCTTGTTGAATTCGTCAAAATGGGCTAACTAACCTACTTTCATGCTCACCTACCAACCTTTCACTGGTGCCACGCCAGTGTATATCGATAGAGCAGTCAGGGTTACCATTCCATTATTATCCCATAAAAACCTTTTGTATACCTTACCCCCTGTACTTTATGACCTATTATAGAATGTGAGTTTACTCCCCCATTTTCGGCCGAGAAATGTCAAATCTTGATAGGTTAACATTTATAGCGTTTGTGAGGCCGTAACTAGAGAACGGCTGGATCGATTTGGATATATTTTTTTTATAACACAGGTGGCAAATGAGTATGCGGTTTACAATGTTAAGTGACTATTGCCGCTTAAGAGTACCCTTAACACCAGAGGAAATACAAGTGTGTTGCCGACCTTTTAAAAAGGAGTACGCCCTTTTTTTTATCATCATTTCCTTGCCTTTTCCCATTTAATTAGGATCTTCTACCACAAATCCCTGTCAACTGTCATTTCCGGGCTCGCTCTTCTTTTATGCATATCATCTTTCACACAGTCCATCCTCTTTTTCTTCGGTTATCCGTGCTTCCTTTACATCTTCACTCTCTACACTTTCATATTTAACACTTTCTTTAAAACACGGCTTTCATTTCTGAGCAATGACATAACCATACCAAAAAAAATCTATTACTTTGTTACTGGTGTACCTTTTAGACTTCCCCGTTCATACTCATTTCTTATTCTGTTCCTTGTTGCCACCTCACACATCCGTCTCAAGAGTCGCATTTCTACGTATATTTATCTTTTATCCATAATTTCTTTATATATATATTTTTTTTAATTTTCATTCAAATAATCTTTTTAGAGTAATATGGAATAGGGACGTTACTATGGCGAGAGTCAGAAAATAGAGCGATTATTAATCTGTATTAATACTGTATTTTTTTTATACAACTTAGAATGGCAAACAAGCTGACGGCCCACCTGATGGAAAGTGGTAACCGTCGCCTATAGACATGAGCAGTACCATGGACATAACAGAGTATACTGTTTCGCCCATGATACCCCCATGCGTTGCCATTCTTGAGGACTCAGGTGTTATTCCTTTATACCGTGTAAATTCACGCCATATCCCACCCTTCAAACCGAAACACAGCCATGCAAACACAACTGCTTTAAAGGATTCGACCTTTCAAACCGAAACAGCCATGCAAGCCAGCTGCTTTGTGGCAAGAACACTGGCAGGAAAATGTACTATCTTATCATCATATTTGGCGTCTATTGTCCACTGCCAAATATGGGCCTTCACCTATTAGGGGGGTTTGGCAGTAGTTACCGCGCTTGGCAGACGGGTTGGCAACCGCAGTTAAGCTTTCGGTTATGTTTTAAGAGGGATGCGTTTTAAATCGCCTCTTACGACACCTACGTGAAACGAGTGGAACGATTCTACGCTGGGACCACACGGCGATGTTTAGCTTTATTACAATTATTATATATATAAATTACAAAATAGAACTAAACCAAAATAACAACAATTCATCATATAAAAATGAAAAGCAAAGACAAGCTTAATGATAAATTAATGTAAAACGTAATTAATGAATCCAAAAAAGCCACAGGAGAGCCGACCAGAATTAATGACAGAATGACAGCGATATCAAAATGCGAAATGTTGAAAACAAATGTATGTCACGGGGGAATAGTAAAATTAGCAAAACGAACGGCATTCATTATTCATATCTGTACTAATACTAGCTTTTACCCGCGACTTTCTTCTTGTGACTGGGATACGTTTACTGACCGGAATAAAAAGTAGCCTATGCATATCCTACTCCGTCCCACATGGGGGGAAAGGGATTGTTAATAATGGAGTTTGACAGTCCCATTGGTAGCAATATGCCTTATTAGGTCGACCTCCACGTGGTTCCCCCTGGAAACCATCGTGAACAATTCTTGTTGAATTTGTCACGATGGGCTAACTGACCTACTTCATCCTCACCTATCATCCTTCACTGGTTCCCCGCCGTTGTATACCGATAGCGCGGGTGGGGTTACCATTCCATTATAAAAAAAAAAACTCCGTCCCACATAGTATGTGTATATCATTGTGATTGTTTTTTTTTTATGGATGATAATGAAATGGCCACCCCACCCGCGCTAACGGTATATAATGGTGGGACACCAGTGAAGGATTATAAGTAAGAATGAAGTCAGTTGGTCCATTGCGTTGAGTTTGACAATAATTAATCACCATGGTTTCCAGGGAGAACCGCGTGAAGGTCGATCTGATCCCGACCTGATTCCGTGGGTGTCGTAAGAAGCAACTAAGGAAACTTAACGGTCGAAGGTCTGGGCAGCAGCGTCCCTTTGTAAACATCACCAACATATAACTGCTGTGGGGGAAAAGGGATTGTTAGTAATAGGAGTTTATAATATTAATTTCATATTTTCACGATAACCAGCACAAACATGTTTTTGAGGTCACCACGGAGGGGAGGGTTTAGCGAAGTAAACATCATAAAAAAATAGTTTATTCATAAAACAGAGGGTAGTTTATGAGAAACAACAATTTTATGGCTTTTATTACACTTTTTCTTATTCATTACGAAAATTTATAATGTTTATTGAGGATCATTTAATAACACCAACTGTCTGCACGTAAATCTGTTAATAAAAATCAAAAAACAAACTTCTGAAGTCAGAACTTATCATATTCATAATGCTCCTTTCCACTTTGGGTGTTGCTGGAAGAAAACTCTATCAGAGTTGAGCTCACCTTTGTACTTTTGATTACTTCTGTCATATTCTTGTAACTGGTGTGTACAATAAAGTATTAAATAAAAAAATTAAAAAAAAATCGGATTCGATCCTATTTAAAACATTTCGCTTCTTATAGTGGCTTAGCTGATAGATGATAAGGCCAGAATGGGAGTGAAAATGACTGCGAACAGAGACAAATTGAAGAAAAGAAAAGTATTACGCCGACCCTAAACAATAATTGAAATAGGGGTAGAAAGATGATAATTCTTATACTGGCTTCTACTGGCCGAAAATGAAAGCCTGGAACTGTTAACGAAGAAAACTGCGTTATAGAAGTAGTTGTTTCTAAACCTAAACACTGCAAACAATGACGATTAACAAAAAACTTAAAATGTCCAGACCAGTGATTATTTGGAAAATGTTTACCTTCTCAAATTTATTGATAAAGAATCAAATTTGGAACTGCTTCTGCACCATTGAGGTTATCTATTTCATGACTATCTCAAACAATGACAAGTAATACAAGAAAGTTAATCAATGTATAGGTATTTTATCAATAAACACAAGGTTTTGAAACACGCAATTAACATCTTTAAAAACGTAGAGTACTTAGCGAAAATGAAACTGACCTCAAATTGTAATACCCGCATATATATTAATCAACTGTCAATACACTCGAAAACCGCCTGATAATGTAATACTCACGTGTAAACCTGGACTGAGAATGTAACATTAGTTACTTTTCTGAAACTCACCTGTTTCTGTAATATTCACATATACTCGTAAATTACTGAATCTGTTATTTTCGTTACATTAGTGATTTTTTATACTAACGTTAGCTGGTCAGTGCTAGCCGGCGAGTCGCGTCCATCGTCCCGCGCGCTTCCCACCACCCCATCGGGACCACTCATGCAACACCACAAAATTCACTTATACACAATGAAACACCTTAAACAGGCCAACACTGATCACTACAACATTTTAATAATACCACTGGACTATTTTATACGGAAACCGGTGTACTGGTGCGTTGTCTTAAAGGGTTTCACGAATATTTTATAACATGAGGCGCGCTCTACGAGCGATCGCCATCTTGATTTGTGTGATGTGTTCGCGCGCGCGCCAAACGTCGTTTCATGCGATGTTGTCATTGATTCTGACTCCCCCAATTTATCGGTGAATATTTATAAATGTTATAGCACTATTGCTGTTTATATTCGTGAGATTCAAGTTCCTTATTATACATCATACTGAGAGGAGTTTACTAATAAAAGAAAAACAGAATACGCCTTTGTACCTCACTCTACACGACGTAGTCCAAATAAAATGTTTTCTAATCAAATGTGTCTCTATACTTTTGTACTTTTTTTATATTTGATAATTGATTCCTTATAATACAGAATATCCTATTCTATTTTAGTCTGAGGACCAGACGATAGGTGTGTGTGTATTATACATACACACACACACACAAACACACACACACACACACACACACACGCGCGCGCGCACGCACGCACGCTCGCACACATATACAAACACACAAACATATATAGTATATAAATAGTAACAAATTTAAACAATAATACAAAATTTTAATTTAAAATTTATTTTGTCAGTTCTAATTAATAAATCCAAAATATTTTTTCATGCCTGTAATACGAATCCTTAAATGCTGATAATATGTTATCAGCGACTAAAATGGGCTAATTGCTTCTTTTTTCAAAAAGACCGTGCAAACTCGCAGCGCTAATTATAATTATTATTTGAACTGAATTATGAGTTGTTAATTATGAAAATAAAAAATAAAAGGATTTTTTATTCCAAGTGTGTCAACCCTGCGGCGCATGCGTACAACCGCACCACTGCAATACGACGTCGTCGACACGCGCCTATTTTTACGTCTTTGTATCCAATGCCAATTAAATGTTGACAGTGCGAACGGTACTTGCATATTCCCTTATAATAGTAACTCTAAGTACCTAATTGGGCCGTTGACACATTTTACATAGTAACAATATTAAATTAAAGCATATATTTCCGAAACAAAATTAATGACATAAACAATGCCACTATATTAAAGCATGTCACTATGTTCTACCGCTTGCACAATGGATCGTGCTCAGAGGAATTGTTCAATGTGATGCCAACGGCCAGTTTTTACCATCGTACTGCTTGCCATCGACAGGGAGTTCACCCTCATACCCTACAGCCTAGATAGTCACGTATAACGCGGTTTCAGAGACGTTTTCTCCCTCGAACACATAGGTTATGAAATGAACTCCCTGTTGAGGTTTTTCCAAGAGACTACAGCATTGGGTTCTTCAAAAGAGGGTAAAGTGGTTTGTTCAGGGTCCGCAATGCACGCAATACTCCTGGTATTGCAGGCGTTCATAGGCTACGGTAAACGCGTACCATCAGGTAGGCCGTATGCTTGTTTGCAACCTCAGTAGTATATAAAAAAGAGCGAAATTCTTTTTATAATAAACGAGTTTTTACCTGCGACATCATCTGCATGACCGGGATATGGTCACTGAGGGATAAAAGGTAGCCTATGTCTTTATACATCTCATATAATAATCGTATGTATACAAAATTTCATAGTAATTAGTTAAGCCGTTAAAGTCTCTAAAGATAAACAAACTCACTTTCACATTTATAATATTAGTAAAGATAACAAAGATTCAATGAACCCGTTTATAACCTATAACATGACTTGACATGCTACGACGTTAGTGTAACGAACTCGTGTGATATCACATCTCGCTACGGTAATATCGTGACGGTATAATCGTGGGATGTTATGTCATGCTACAATAATATCGTGACGGTATAATCGTGCGAAGTCATGTCAAGCTACGATAATACCATGACGATATAATCGTGAGATGTCGTGTCATGCTACGGTAATATCGTGACGGTATAATCGTGTGATGTCGTGTCATGCTACGATAATATCAATGTTTATAAGTAATTATTTGCATTTAAAGTTTCATAAAAAAAAAAGGATGGGGTATAACAAGTCGTTATCGCTTTAAATAGAGTGAGAAACTTCGTTAAGTATTGAGAACATTTATTCAAGGTATTAATTACGTTTATTACTTAGAAATATAGGAAACTTTTTAATTAAATTTAAGTTCTCTTCGCAACCTCAGCCATAATTTTAATTATTGCTTAAGTAACACAACTAATGATTGAAGCTGTGACTTATGGTGTAAGGGTTACTTTAAGTAACAAAAGCGGATGATGTTAATTTTAAAAAATCTGTTCTTTTCGGTACCTTAGCCATAACTTTAATTACTGCTTAAATAATCGGAGAAGGAAATCAGGTGGCATTAATTGCGTTTACTATTTTGAAAGGTAGAGAACTTTTTAATTAAATTTAATTAAATTTTCCTTGTATCCTCAGCCATAGCTTTAATTACTAAATGAGTGTTTAATTTATTTTATTGAGTTGTCGTTTTTGTTAGTATTTATTTCTCGCTCGCATCCTCTTCACTGCTTGATTCAATTGAACTTTCTTCAGACTCTTCGCTCTCTGAATCTGGTCCAACTGTTGTAGCTTCTACAGACTCCTCAGGTTCAGTTGGCTGTTCGTACTCCCAGTCGAAGTTGATACCAGTTACTTCGTAGTACCACTCGTGGTAGTGGCCTGGACGGACGAAACCTGGCAAGAATTTATAGTTTGCATGTTGTAATCGAAATGATAAACACCCTTTTAATAGAGTGATCTACTAAACAAGTCGAACATTTTTCTTAAAGAAATATAGTTTGAAAAATGACAAAAAATATCAGAGATAATACTTTCTTGGAAATAATGGAATTCTGCATTTTAAAAATTGATACTTAAAGGTTAGAAAAGGTCCGAATATGGCATCTACAATTTAAAAAGATCTATTTGTCTCTATAGCACTTACCAGCAGGATAATCAGTGTGGCAACCTGTGGAGGACACAAACGATGTAACTCCAACCTCGCTCAGTTCACCATCTTCATCAATCACTGTCAATGGACCACCACTGTCGCCCTGAATGTAATAAAGAAGAAAGTTTACAAACCTCTTCTGGAGGGGAGAGAACACATTGAGAAGACTCATAGACAAAACCAAAAAGGTACATGAATCTATATAGGAATTGCCAATTTTTTTTTTCAATTACATGCGATTCATTTCGTTTGGATATTCATAACTTATTTTCATAAATTGGACGTCTTTTTCTTTCTTTTTCCACGAATACTTGAATACATGTCTGGCAACCGTGTCTTTTTGACAGGAGATTTTTGGACAGAGAAAAAAAACATGGTGGTTGCTTTTTTGTGTACGGTGCAGGAAAAAATTTTAATCGGTTGGATTTATGTATGTATGGTGTGGCGTTATATATCATATCATTGGCATAATATTAATAGTGCTTATGTACCAACACTTCGTCGTTTTATTGCACCTCAACCTTGCCGCGTGGTTTTCACCGGCGTATCAACTCCAAACATGTTTTTAAGATATTAAAAAATTGATTATTTACCAGCTGTCTGAAATTGAATTAATTTTGGCTCGAATTAAAACTTGGAATAACAAGCAATTACATATGCTTGTTTTTTTCAATCGAATCTAATGGTCTTTCGGAGTTTTAAGGCATCAATGTGTGATAATGTCCCTGCTCTAATTTTTAATATCAGTGCTGCAATTTTCTATCTTATAGGTGGAGATATAAAATTAATTGTCACCTGGCACGTAGACTGGCTGCTGACGTTGTATGCATTGGCACAGATTGTGGTATCCTGGATGGTGCTGCTGCCTGGATATGCAGCCAAGCAGGCGATGTTGGAGGTACCAGTTAAGTACACCCAGTTTAAATTCTCAGGAGCGCTCGCTAAAATGAGAAGTTACAACATTAACAGAATGGATATTTTTCTGCCTTTGAGTAAATATGATTTTTTTTTATGGGCGAAAATGGTATTGTAACCCCGCCTGCGCTAACGGTATACGCTGGCGGAGCACCAGTGAAGGGTGATAGATGAGAATGAAAACAGGCCAGTTAGCCCATCATGATGAATTCATCAGGAATTAACCATGATAGCTTCCAGGGAGAACCGCGAGGAGATCGACCTGGTTGGGTATATTGCTAGCAATTGGATTCTCAGTCTCCATTACTAACAATCCCTTTCCCCCCTAAATATGATATTCATTCTTTTATTCATATAATATGTTGACATTATTAAAAATAATAGCATTTTTTATAATAATGTCAACATTTTAGAAAGATTGATAAATTAAGAAAAGAACTGCAATACGATTATTTAAATGGGAGAGAAATTTAAAAATACATTTATAATTCTTAAAAAGCCCCTAAAAATGTCAAACGTCACAACTATATACCCAGTAGTTTTTGCTGTACGTGACTGATTTATCAGTCCATAAAAACAAGCCCATATAGAATAATATAACCCAATCTGTTTACCTCCAGTCCAAGTGCGTCCCCAACCGCTGGCAGTCAGCCTCACGCCCGCATAGTTACGATTCTTGGCCGCAGAGTTCTGAAGCCTGATCGGTTGTACATAATCTGAAAAACAATTGTTATTATTTTAGCCATTAACTGACCATTGCTGAAGATAACCCTTCTCCAAAAGAAAAGTTTTGCCAGCACTTGCCACGCTTGGCAGGCAGCTTCGCAGCCACTGTTAGGCCCTTAGAGATGTTTTAAGTTTATATTTATATAATATATTAAAAAATTTGTGGCACGTT